CTATAGTTGAAATTGCCAGTAATGTGATGTTAGTAGATGACCATGTATTATGGATGGCACAAAATGAAGAGAAAGCTTGTACCAGGATTGTACAGTGTGTGGAGCACATTGCAAGTCAGATGCTGACCAGTAATACTCAAGTTATTTCAAAGGTATCTCATAAAATCACAACACTTTTTGTTGGGATGTATTTTCTATCATGGTTTCTTTAGCAATTTGCATATACGCTTAAGTTTAGTAGAAGACTGCAAATTTTACATTATGTTACTGATTGTCAAAAAGGACAGTTATAGGTACTATCACTTATGTATTTCCTCTAAGACATACCACTACAATAATAAATATTCACTATATCAGTCATTGATGATTCTGCAACTATAGTATAAAATTCACTTCATTTGTAGGTTGGCCCTCACAGTGGTATCTGGGTCCTTTTTAAAAAGATTTGAATTGTGTCAATTAAGAGTTCCCGCAAGAGAAAAAACAATAGGCTCCTTTGTTGTCTGCAACTTTTAATGTGGCTGTCAGATATGATTCTAGATATTATTAGCTTAAGCCATTTAGGGAGACCTGGCCAAAAAGGTGCATCTTACAGTTCTTTAGAAAGGTAGTAAATTTTGTGCTTGAGCTTTTTTCAGTAGAGAGTAAATTGTAGAAGCTTGAACCTTCAACCAGGAATGTTCCATAGCTTCCCTTTAGGGATGATCAGCACTCTATACCATAAGGCTAAATACAGATGTTCAAAAGCCCCTGGTGGAAGTGCTCTAACTTATCTCACTTTACTCAAAGTGCAGTAAGTTGGAGTGGGAGCCAACTGAACAGACATTTGCTGTTCAGTGGTGGGGAAGGGCTTTCAGTCTGCCTGCTCACCTCCCAGAGCATCCTGTCTCCCCAGAACCACTCCCCTACCAACTAGCTACTGTCAGCAGTTGCTGGGGGGGGGGGGGCGGGGGGGGACAGGACACACAAAGAGGGGAAACATAGCCCCTCCACTGTGATGGCCCCCCACAACTTTCTGGCTGGGGCCTCGGGGTGGGGGAGACGAGCGGG